ACAGCTTGACCAATGCCTCGGCAATGGCGGGGGCCGTAGCTCTTTTCAGGGCCCCCGCCTCGGGGCAACGGGTGGCGTAGTCTACGATGACTAGGATGTAACTGTGCCCCCGCCCCGATTTCTCCAATGGCCCCACTAGGTCTAATGCCACCCGTTCGAAGGGGGTCCCCACCACTGGCAGGGGGGAATCAGCAATAGCGGGGGCCGTAGCTCTTTTCAGGGCCACCGCCTCGGGGCAACGGGTGGCGTAGTCTATGATGACTAGGATGTAACTGTGCCCTCGCCCCGATTTCTCCAGTGGCCCCACTAGGTCCAATGCCACCCGTTCAAAGGGGGTCCCTACTACTGGCAGGGGGACAAGGGGCGCCGGTGGGACCCGAGTCCCGGATGATCGCTGGCACTGTGGACAGGAGTTACAAAAGTTTTTAATCTCTTGGTACACCCCGGGCCAAAAAAATCTCTGGAGTACCTTCTGCTGGGTTTTCTCCGTGCCCAGGTGTCCGGCCCACGGGTGTTCATGCGCTAGCTCCAGGACCTTCCATCTGTACGGCCTCGGGACCAGCAGCTGCCATCTCTCCTCCCCTGGGAGTTCCCCTGGAGACACTCGATAAAGGCGGTCATCTCTTACCTCGAACCGAGGTCCGTCCGGTTGCTTGGGCGGGTCTTCTCCTGGAGTTTCTCCCGTAGTGCGCACCTGCTCCCAGGCTGCCCGTAGGGTAGGATCTTCCCGCTGTTGTGTAAGGAAGTCCCCCTCCTCGACGTCGAGTCGGGTCTGCCCTGATGCCTCAGCCGCCGGGGCCACCCCTGGGATCGCTTCTTCCCCCTCCTGTTCTCCTTGGGCTACCAGAGTCCCTTGTCCCGCCTCGGGCTCTTGTCCGGGGTTCCGGCCCCTGTCCCACTGCCCCAGGAGTCGCTTCAGGCCGGGCCAATCCCGTCCCAGCAGGAGCGGGTATGCTAATCTTGGGCCCACGGCGACTATGCAGTTCCTTTCCCCCTCCCCGTCCCCTATCCGTACCCGGGAGACTTCGGCCCTCCCGAATTGGCACTTCTTTGGGTTGGCCGTCTGCCCCGCCTTCCTCAGGGCTCCTAACACGCTTGCTATGTGACCTAAATGCTCTTCCCAGGACTCGCTGAATATCACGATATCGTCAATATATGCTGCCGCGTAGTCCTGGTGATCTCGCAGGACCTGGTTCATGAGTCTTTGGAACGTGGCTGCGGCCCCGTGCAACCCGAATGGCATGTTCCTAAATTGATATAGCCCGAAAGGTGTGGCGAACGCCGTCTTTGCCTGGGCCTCGGGCGAGAGCGGGATCTGCCAGTACCCTTTGGTAAGATCAAGGGTTGACAGGTAGGTGGCTCTGCCCAGGCGTCCCAGTAGTTCATCTATACGGGGCATAGGGTACGCATCGAACCTTGAAATCGCGTTGACTTTGCGGAAGTCGATGCAGAACCTGGTTGACCCATCCGCCTTAGGTACTAACACGATGGGGCTTCGCCATTCACTACGGGATTCTTGTATCACCCCCCATTCTAGCATGGCCTGGAGTTCTTCCTTCACCGTGCCCCATAACTTTCGCGGAAGGGGGCGCATATTGTCCCTCACCACTCTGCCGGGTTCTGTCTCGATCTCGTGCTGCACCAGCGTGGTCTGCCCGGGTCGGCTAGTCAATACTGGCCTGAACTGATCGAGGAGGTGGTGCAGCTGTTCTTGCTTCGGGCCCGGTAGCTCCTCTCCGATCCTTACTCCCTCGATTTTCACCTCGGGCTCCCCCCACGGACCCAGCTCGATATCCGTGTCTCTGGGTTCAATTAGGAGGACCTCCCGCGGGTGCCACTTCTTCAAAAGATTTACATGGTAAATTTGCGTGTCTCGCCGGTTGCGGTCCACCCGTATTTCATAGTCTACCGGGCCCAGCCTCCTTATTACCCGGAAGGGCCCCTGCCAGTGGGCCAAGAGCTTGGACTCCCCACTGGGTAGCAATAGGAGGACTTGCTCGCCGGGCTCGAACTCCCTCACCTGCGCCTTCTTGTCATAGTAGGCCTTCTGCCCCTCTTGCGCCTTTCCTAAGTTCTCTCGTGCCCGGCCCGCCAGGGTATGGAGGGTCCCCCTCAGTTTTTGCACGTACTGGGCTGCCCCCAAGGCGGGGGAGACCGACGTTTCCCATCCCTCCTTTACCAGGTCCAGGATTCCCCGCGGCCTCCGCCCGTATAACAACTCGAAAGGGGAATACCCGAGCGATGCCTGCGGTACCTCTCTGACGGCGAACATCAGTGCGGGGAGCAGCTTGTCCCATTCCCTGGGGTCGTCTTGGGCGAACTTCCGGAGCATCCCCTTCAGCGTGCGGTTGAAGCGCTCTACTAGCCCGTCGGTCTGGGGATGGTATACCGACGTCCGGAGCTTCCGGATCTGCAAAGTCCTGCACAGTTCTGTCATAACTTTCGAGGTTAGGTTCGTCCCCTGATCCGTCAGCAGCTCCCTGGGCAGCCCGACCCACGAGAACAGCTTGACCAGTGCCTCAGCAATAGCGGGGGCCGTAGCTCTTTTCAGGGCCACCGCCTCGGGGCAACGGGTGGCGTAGTCTATGATGACTAGGATGTAACTGTGCCCTCGCCCCGATTTCTCCAGTGGCCCCACTAGGTCCAATGCCACCCGTTCAAAGGGGGTCCCTACTACTGGCAGGGGGACAAGGGGCGCCGGTGGGACCCGAGTCCCGGATGATCGCTGGCACTGTGGACAGGAGTTACAAAAGTTTTTAATCTCTTGGTACACCCCGGGCCAAAAAAATCTCTGGAGTACCTTCTGCTGGGTTTTCTCCGTGCCCAGGTGTCCGGCCCACGGGTGTTCATGCGCTAGCTCCAGGACCTTCCATCTGTACGGCCTCGGGACCAGCAGCTGCCATCTCTCCTCCCCTGGGAGTTCCCCTGGAGACACTCGATAAAGGCGGTCATCTCTTACCTCGAACCGAGGTCCGTCCGGTTGCTTGGGCGGGTCTTCTCCTGGAGTTTCTCCCGTAGTGCGCACCTGCTCCCAGGCTGCCCGTAGGGTAGGATCTTCCCGCTGTTGTGTAAGGAAGTCCCCCTCCTCGACGTCGAGTCGGGTCTGCCCTGATGCCTCAGCCGCCGGGGCCACCCCTGGGATCGCTTCTTCCCCCTCCTGTTCTCCTTGGGCTACCAGGGTCCCTTGCCCCACCTCGGGCTCTTGTCCGGGGTTCCGGCCCCTGTCCCCCCGGCCCAGGAGTTGCTTCAGGCCGGGCCAATCCCGTCCTAGCAGGAGCGGGTATGCCAATCTTGGGCCAACGGCGACTATGCAGTTCCTTTCCACCTCCCCATCCCCTATCCGTACCTGGGTTGTGGGGTAGTAGTGGATGTCCCCATGAACGCATCGGAGGGCTATCGGCGCGCCCCGGGCCCGCACTGGGTATATCACGTCCTTCCGGACGATGGTCTGCCCACACCCCGAGTCTAATATGGCCTCCACCGGGTTCCCATTGACCCATAGTCTCCGGATTACCTGCGCCACGCTAGCCGTCCTCCTGTCCGTGCCTCCCGTGCGCCGCTGCCCGAAGGTGCAGTCCATCAGGGTGCAGTCCCTTTTGTAATGGCCCTCCTGACCGCATTGGTAGCAGACTACCTTCGGGGCCCCCTCGGGCAGTGGGGCGCCCGGCCCCGTTTCCGTTGCTCGGTCTATCCTGGCCTCTCCCCCCGGGCGGCTCCACCGTGGTGCCAACCTTCTTGTCGGGAGGGGCCCCAGGGAGCCCCCGGATCCTCCTCCGGCGTGTTGGGCCCCTGCCGGCTTGGCCGTCCCTGTCTCGCTTCTCCGAGGTTCTCTCGAGGTTCCTGTGGCTTCCTTCCCTACCGGCCCCTCGGCGGCCAGGTAGTGTTCCATAAGGGTCACCGCCTCGTCCAGTGTCTCTGGGAGGTGCCGCCGGACCCACTGCTGTCCTTCGGCCGGGAGGATGCGGACATACTGTTCCAGTATCACTAGGTCGGCCACCTGGACCCCCGTCTTTGCCTCCGGCTCGAGCCATCGCATCCCTGCTTCTTTTACCCGCTGAGCCACTGCCCGCGGTCGCTCGCGAGGGTCGTACTTGGCCTCGCGGAACCGGCGGCGGTGGGTCTCCGGGGTGACCCCTAGTTGATCCAAAATGGCCTCCTTGACTTTAAAGTAACATAAGGCGTCGTTGGCAGACATTCCCCGGTAGGCCAATTGGGCCGGCCCCGATAGGTAGGGTGCGAGGAGGGTCGCCCAATGTTCTGGCGGCCATTTCGCAGCGGTGGCCACCCTCTCGAATGTTACCAGAAATGCCTCTGGGTCGTCGTCCGGCCCCAGTTTCGTGAGGCGTATAGGTAGTTGGGTGCCGACCCCCTCTGCCCCTCCGGTCCCTCCAGCTGCCCCCGGTACCGTCACTGGTGTCCCTCGCGCCATCTGCTCCTGCCGCTCCTGAAACTGGTTGAGGAGTTGTTGTAGCGCTTGCATTTGCTGCTGCTGTTGCACTTTCTGGGTCTCCGTCCACCATTCCAAGACCTTGTTTGCATCCATCGTGTCCTGCTAATCGATACCTTGTTAATTTCGCTTACCCCGTCCAGGCCCCCGTTCCGGGGCCTACTGTGCCCACATTCTCCACCACGTGTAGGGGATTGACCCCCGGGGGGGG